GCCGTTATCAGCCGCGGGCTGGGCGGTCCTTGCCCCGTCCACGCCTCCGGGTTTGAACCGTCAGCTCAAGGTGGGCCCTGAGGAGAGCGTGGCAGGGTTGTTTGTTGTTTGGGTTGTTTGGTTTGGGTTTGTTTTTTTTTTTTATGTTCTTTGGGTGCTGAAGGATAAGAAATACCCAATGGGAGCAATAGCTTGCACCAAGTTCTCATAGGCATTCAAAATGCAGGCTCCCCACCCTCACAAAATGGCAATGTACTGATTTTTCAAAATAAAAGGGTCATACTCCTCTATATCCTCTCACTCTGAATGATGTTATATACTAAGTTTGGCAAAATCCTTACAGAGAGTCACTACATTCATTTATGCAAATAGATACGTTCATATGTGTAAACAAAAAAAGGAACAGAAGAAGAAGAGACCAACTGGAATCCCATATCCAGAACACATCTGCTGGTATGTGGGACTTCTGAAGATACTCAGAGACCATTATTACTGGTTGCAGCTACTTCCTCTAGGCCAAACCAGGCACCCTACTGCACCTCGCTGTAGGGGTGGGCACTGGCTGGCAAGGCGCCTGCCCTGCAGCCTGCATGACCCCCCTTGGCTCCCAGCTGTCCTCTCCTTCTGGAGCAGCCTGGCTCCTGCTGCTCCCTGACAGCGAGCTCACCGGGAGCTGGTACTTCGTGAGACAAGAAGATCATGGTGATGTGCCTACTCTGACGCTTGAAGTAGCGCTCAGAGTGCTACCAGGACCTGGGGTCCTAGGTGAGAATAGGGGGTGACAGATAATGGGGGTAGGGGCCCAGGAGGTGCAGGAAGGAGTGGGGGAAGAGGTGAAGACCAACTTCAGTTAAGAGGCCTGGGTTTGGTTTTGAGGTATGTTGTAGCAAAGTGGAGGAGGTGAGAGGGCATGTGTGTGCTTGGAAAGGCAAACTTGCTTATTAAAAATAATTTGGGAGCTCATGTTACACAAAACTGAGGCTGCTGTCCAGACTCTCTTTTTGTGGTTTTGGATTGGGTTTTGTTGGGTTTTTTTCCTTTCCTCTATCTCATTGACATAATTGACACTTCCTTCACTGAGTTTGCATAGTGAGTCACAGTTCAGATAAGATAAAGGCTGGAAATAATCTGATCGCATCATCTTGATGGGCAGCACGAGTTGCTTCCCCTCTTAAGCTTTCTATTGATCTCTCTCAAAAACCAAATGATCTTCACTGGCCATAGCAAAAAAAGGAAATTAGCAGGGCAACAACCACAACTGGCTTTAAAACAGTTTAATCAATTTACAGAAAGAATTGTGAAATCTGGTTGCCTGCAACAGAGGACTCTATGTTTGACCTGAGACAGGGTTACTGAAGTGGCAGTGTTGGCATAGGTCCTGATTAAATTCTGGCCAGGTTTTGCTTGTCCCAGGCGTATGATGTCTCCCACATTCCTCACTGTTCCCCTTGTCTTTTGGGGGATCTCCTTCAGCATGCGGTTGCAGTTCCTGCAGAGCCTGCGTAGTGCAGCGGAACAAGAGCTAGCACACTGCTGCTCACGCAGCCATCTTCAGTGGAGTTACTCAGACAATCTCGATGAAAATGAATGGTGTAGCCCTGACTTGGAAGATTCTTTCCAATCCTCTATCCCAGAGTCCTCTTGAATTTACTGTAAACCTAGACACGAGGATAAAAGTGGTGATAAAACACCTCCATGCGTTTGAAAATCACTGGAAAACTCTGCCTCTTCCCCTCAGCCTAGCTGCTTTTTTCATCTTCTGGTTAGGTAATGTAAGTCTAGCTCCAAAGGAGGTAGCTGTTGTTTAGGCTTAAATCTTTGGCTTAGCTGATTATGTTTGTCACTGCTGGAACTGCTTGCAGGTAAGATCAGATCAGATTGCTCTTGCATCTCACTGGTGGCTGGTTTCTCTGAGGGTTAAAAAATTTGTGTAGTTTAGTCTTCTGGAGACTCTTCTGTCTTGCTCAAATCCAGTGAAACAGTTTGTTTTATGTTTGTGAACCACTTACTGAATTTGCTGTTAAACATACAGAAGGAGCCAATCACATTGTTAAAAACATATAAAATTGTCATGTAAAGTCAATGAGAACAGCTAAGTGTTTTTAAAGTCACTTTCACTGTTGTGGAAAATCATTTATATTCTGGTCTAGTGCCTGATACGTTAATGCTAAATCTCTGAGGAGAGACTGCAAGAAATAACTTGTATCTTGTAAATACAAACTTCCATACAGAGTCTAGTTTTTCAGGCAGAAAGGCGAGTATTTACTGTTATATTACTGTAAGAATTGTTGCTAGGAGTGCATCTATGCACATTTGTTTTACTTCACACCATGTTCTTTTCGCTTGTGTGCAGCTTTGGGACCCACCCTTTAGGAACCCTTCCTTTTAAAGAAATTCAGATAATGTGTGCATCAACTGTTTGAAAAACACAAGGCTCCAGTAATAGCTCTCCTAGGGCTAGAGGTGTGGTTGGAAAATAAAATTCATAAGCAGCGGAGAGAGAAAGCATTTTCCTACATGGGGTGGGGGGCAGAGAAAAAACAAGGAACGGATCATCTTCAGAGCACCATGTCATCAGTATTCTTCCCCAGGGCACTGGGAAGAGCCCAGTGTCTCTGAAAGAACTCGTCTTTTAACTCTTCGATTCTTTGCTGTTTAACTTAGCTGGCAAAGGAGTTCTCTGGACCATTTATACTGATTTGTGAATAACTTTTGTAGCACTGGGGCCATTCCAGTGGATAAAAGCAAGTGTTGTGCCAGTATTTATATATTACTTTTTTTTCTTTTTAAGCACTTAATTCAATTAAATGACTTGATATGCCAACTTAACTCCTAGGTACCTGGCCTTGGAAACCCAGCTCCAGAATTAGGGGCTTGTGCTTTCCCATCAATGCATGGAGTTTGTCAGATATCTCAGAATAGGGTCTCTGTACCCTAGTATTATGTAGAGAGAAAAAACTATCTGGAACTTTTCTGCCATGAATGCATTTTCATTCATTCAGGATTCATGGCTCTAATCTTCTTTCCAAGGTATGTCTTACAGTTGTTCCTCGGAAAGAATGAGCAATGTTATTCTAAAAAACATGGCAGTGACTACAGCTGCTGCTACCCACTTATCTGCTGGCCTGGGGCTACAGCACTTTCCCACAAAGGGAAATATTTGGTGTTTATTTTAGGGGAATTGGGCGAGATCCATCAGCCCAAGAGAGGGGAGGCTGACACAGCTCCATGTTCCCAGGTCCAACTGAAGCGAGGTTGAGCATGTTATTTCCAGTCTAACATGCCAGCTCCTCCTGTGGTCTCGCCATTGGAGATGCACCACCCGCTCTCTCTGCCTCCCACCCCCCGCCTCCCAGGGCACATCAGCCCATCACCAGCTAGTCCAGCTTGATGGTTACTAGTGCTCACACACTCACTCGCATGCTCGCTCCCCCTGGCACCACTGACTTAAGGGCTTCTGACCCCTGGTCCACTCTACCACTCACTTGGGTCTCTCCCACCAGCCGCTGGCACCCAGGCACACGGTGCCTGTGATCCCAGCCCCGCTTCTGGCACCCAGACCCTCACTCACTCCAGTTGCTAGCCCCATGGACACATGGGGGCCCCTACAACCCGTGGTCCCGCTCCAGTTGCTGGCACTTAAGTCGACTCACTCCGCTCTCTCCAGTCACTGTCACCCAGGCGCACGGGCTCTCCAACCCATGGCTTGACTAGAGGCTGGCACTCAGACCTCCATACACACGCAGACACCCAAAATAGAGAGTCCTTCACTCAGAAAAAGAGTTATAAAGGAATTTAATAAGAAGATAGGAACAGGGTGTGCTAAGCAGATGCAGGGCATGGCAGACAAGCACATGACCCAGCAAACTGCTCACACACAACTGGCCCTTTCTATTCCCTTATCCCTCTATTTTCCCACACTTGTTCCTTCCCAAATCACCTAGATCCCTCCCTTTCTTTGCCTTTGATTCCTCCCCTAAGCACCCCAGAAGAAGTCCTGTGCAATCCCGAAATGCTCTTCCCCTGCACCCCATAATGTGTCCTATATCAGTAGACTGCAACCCCCCTCAGTCCTAAAGTTGCTGTGGTGTTGACCCATCTTGATGGGCTTCATGCCTGCACCCTGGGGCTGAGGCTTCCCTGGGACAGCCGCGGGAGGGGCCTGGACAGGTTTTCCCTTTCTCTGAGTCCTTAATTTGGGTTCCTATCTGCCATTGTGTCCCTGTGCTCCTCTGGACTTGTGGAGATGGGCCTTTGATGGGCTGATCGCTCTTGTGATGGGTGTGGGAGGAGCCAGGGCAGAGTATTATTCGGGCTACCCCCATGCCATTGTCTCTCTGCACTCCTTTGTGGGTGTGTAGACAAGCTTTTATCACATAAGCTCACAGTTGATGTCTTTCTCAGCCTGGTTATGGAGGTTTTAAACCTACAGTTTCCCTGGAGAGTGATACAAAGCGGGAACTTTGCCTTTCCAGTCCAGGAATTATTGTTGTTTCATATGTAATGCATAAACATTTCAGGGATCAGAACCTGCAGGCTTCCTCTTCCCTGGGCGAATGATTTAACCAGTAAGCTATAGCTGTCAGCTTTCTCTTGGTCTCACTCCTTTTGACCTAATGAATCTTGGGCTTCTTTCTGAACAGTGCCACAACTGCAAAAGGAGTGGAGGGTGCCTTTCATCTCAGCTGTATGATTAAGGATGTAACTTTGAACACCTAGGAGTCAGGAGGCCTTTTTACAAAAGGCATGCCATATCCCCCTGCCTTGTTCCCTTTGCCTGCCTTTGCAGGCCTTTGCTGAGTGTTAGACCTATTGCGAATGTCCTGGGTCAGGCCTCACTGGTGATATCAGCATCTTTCTTCCAGGTTTCTGGGGGAGCTCAAGTGAGAGCTGCTATGCTGCTGTCTGCTCTTCAGAAATACTAGCGTTTGTGCTGGGAGTTGCAGTGCAGCAGGTCATGGGGCTGTGGGATGCATGGGACTTGCCGGGCAAGTGCTGTAACCCTGCTGACCAGCATGTTCCAGAACCACTAAACCTGTTACGAGGTACGTGGCAACCAGCTGGCCAGGTGTGGTACAGCTGCATCGCCTCTATGCCATAAATTTCAAATATCTTCAATGCCGTGGCTCCAGTGAAACCACCACTTTGTTCCAGTATCCTGGACAAATACCAGAAATCCTTAATATCTGATAAGACTAGTTTTTCAGGTGGAAAACAGGGACCTGGCTGCAACAACCCAGACATATGTAAGCCTTAGCTTGGGTGCTTGTTAGACATCTATGTGCTCAGGACTATCTGGGCATGCAGAGAAGGAAAATTGTAAGAGTGTAGTCGATGTTGACAATACATGTGTGCTTTCAGTCTCAAGTTGCTGCTGAATGAGGGGTTTTTAGATTGCAGTTCTAAATGTTAAGTACCAAAAATTTTCCAAAGTCTTGTTTTGGATCTGGCCCTAAGTAGGATGACCTGGGTAATTGTAGACCTGTCAGAGTGACATGGATCCCAGGCAAAAGAATAGAACCACTGATACAGGAGTTGCTTCAATAATGAATTAGAGAAAAGTAATGTAATTAATGCCAATCAGCATGGGTTTGCAGAAAATAGATTCTGTCACATTGGTTTGTAATTGCATCAAAAAGATATTAAGTGTGGTTACTAAAGGTAATGCATTCAGACGTGTGAGGCGTGTGACTTGACCACACAACACTAAATCAAGGAAGGAAATGCAATGATACAGAGACCATCCAGTCCCCAGTTAAAACATTAGCTTAGGATGTCTCAAAATGTAATTGTAAATGAGGAATTATAATTGCACATTTTCAGCAAGATCTTTCTTAGGTAATTTCTTGGCTGCATACTACTAAATATTTGTTGGTGCCTTTGAAGGAAACAGTCATCACAGATACTTGCAAATGATACAAAGATTGAGGGCATAGTTAATAACGTATGTGATAGAGTGCAATATCCACCAAAGAGGAGCTCCCCATGTGATGCTATGTCAAAAGGACTGGAAGTACTGTTTATCCCTGGAAGGATAAACAAAGAAATATTAAGCGGGAGTGATGATGCTGTAGTACTCCTGCTTTCATGCTTTTAGCAACTGTGCCTGGGATGCTTTCTCCAGATCTGGTGTTAGCTCAAGGATATAGCAAAATAACAGTCTGTTGAACTTCCAAAGAGAATGTTAAAGGGTGCTTTGATCATAGTCTGTCTTTACCTCTGTTCAGAAATGCCTTAAGAAGGCCCTTCCATCTAGCTTGGCAGTACTAGAAGGTGAAGTCAGATGAAATTAGGGGCAGGGTGAGGTCCCTTCCAACCCAAAGTATTCTGTGATTCTTTTTCTAACAGATACGCTGTAGTTCAAACAGGATGTAGTGTGGCTAAGTGATGTGGCCTATTTTTTTAAGGAAGCTGGATTAGGCAACCACCAAAGTCCAGTTTGTGAACTCCAGCTCCCTGAAGGTATTTGTGCTGCCCACGGTTTCTCTACAGCCAAAACTGTAGAGGGTTTAACAACTGTTATCTCCTTGGTTATCTGTAGATATGCAAGCAGAGTTTGTCTCATTCCTGTTCTGTGTATTTTCAGATACACATTCAGATACAGACATTTCAGTGTGTCACTATGGATATAGTGACACACAAAAGATTGTGAGCTGGGATGATTCACTTATGATCGTGTACCTATATAATAATTTCACAAAACATTATTGCTGGTATGTGCTTAGTGTTTTACTTAAATGAAAATTTCAGGTTCCCTCTGAAAGTGTAGCAAAGGTACGCTATGATTTTTAGTGTCTAAAAAAAGAATCAGGAGCAGCATGGGAAATTTATACAGAGGAGTGAATACTACAGAAAGATGCTGTTCTCTTGGTTTTTTTCTGATGCTGAACTTATATTACAGAACTCAAGGTTCATTGGAATGAGAAAGTCAAATTTCTCCATTAAATATTCTAAACATTTGTTGGTACAAACGTCATGGTTAAGAACAAAAGCAGTTTATACATCCATATCACCTACTCCTGATGTTAATGGGAAGTAAAAAGCTCGGTATTATTGTGCTATCAAATGTAGCCAGGCAGCTCAGAAAAAACAACATATACAGAGAGTGCATATATTTCAGCAATGTCTTGCTGCGAAGCTATCAACGATTAATAAGAGATTCCAGTGTATCAAAGCAAACAAGGAAAAGTTTTAGTTAGTAGCTATTCTGAAGAGACTCACTGAACTCTGTGATTTGATGATGTGTCACCTAATAGCTTCTGTAACGTCCTGGTCTCAGTACTAAATCAAGAGAGCAGTGTCTAATGGCTGAATCTAGTTGAAATCACTGTTTCTATGGAAATTTCTACAAGGGAAATCCAGGGGGCTGAATGGATGTGCAAAAGTACACATGAAGAGAATTATTTTCATGCAGCATAGCGGGTTTTCAGGGATGTTGCTGAGATGGGTCATTCTGAGTGAGGAGCTGGTGTAAATCATTCCAGGTGCTGGTAACTGATTAAAAAGCTGACTCTGCTTATCAACAGAGGAAATGACCACAAAAGACTGCTACTGGAAGATGAAAGGAGGGAGGGAGGGAGGAATGAAGTAGTTGAAAAGAAGAGAAGAGACAGCAGCTGCTACAGCATGAATAAAAAGTGAGTTTGTTTGTTTCCCTAGTGTTCAACTGAATTTGTTCATGATCCCATTGCTTAGAGAACTGCTCCAAACAGAGTCGTGGTATCACTTGTATCAAACAGTGTTGTAGCATGGTATTCTTCCGATTCAGTCTGGGGCTAAATTATGCAGGACCGGCATGGGAAATTTGGTCATCCGGTATCAAGGGTGTCAAGTGACTGAGGGAGATGAAGGTTGAAGTCTACCAGTATGCTATTTTTCAGGGGACAGAGAATCCCTGCTGGGCTGTGGCTTGAAGCGATTTGGCTAATTGCATAGGAATTTACCTACTGTTTGAAGGTGAAATGGGGCTAACTGCAGTCCTGCAGCTTTCTGTCTCCAAGAACTGGCTAAAGTGAAAGACAACATCCCAACATTAACTATTAAGCCAGCTCAGATGTTGCAATACTCAGATCAAAGGTCTACAGAGATTTGGAACATCTATTCAGGGCTCAGGCATCCATCATATGTGCATATATACAAATGACAGCTCACATTAAGTGAAAAAGAACCGTATGGGGAGTTTGAGTGTATGAAAATTTCAAACCAGCTGTAAATCCAACGTTACATGCAAAACAATGGTGCTTCCTTGTATTGAAAATCTTTCCTTCCTTTGTTGTGAGTCAAAAGTTTAGCAAAACCGACGTATGCCAAATCTATTCGCAAAAGCTGGAGTAGATTAAAAAAAAAAAAAAAAGCTAGGAGTAGCTACCAATAGTGATGTGTAAGGGATTGTACTGCTCCCAATGATAAAAGTATGAGATAATATCAACATCAACATTGTCTTGGGAAACTCTGGATCAGGCTCCTTGGCCAGTTAAGTTACAGAAAGGCAAGGCAGCAGGATTTCACTTAAAATTTTGAGGGTTATCAGGAAAAATGGTTAAGGGAGGGAGAGAAAAAATAGCTCTGTGATCACCTTTTAGGAGTCTTAATTCAGCCCATGCAAACCTTCATGGATTATATCCATATAGATATGTAACAATGGCGAGGCAGGCCCTCAGCTGATGCAGGGTATTATGGGTCCATCCATCTGAGTTTTCTGGAACTACATGTGTTTCTTGAGGCTGAAGTTGCGGCCCTAACAAGAGTTTCTACTTTGCCTTCCACCTGCAAGTATGCACAAAGGCAGTGGGGTGTCAGATCGCTGTGCTGAAGGAGAACAGCACTGTGCACAGTTGCGTACGTACATTATTCAGCATAACAGGGTCTTAGTTCTCAATAGTGGCTTTTAGCTAGTACTACAAAACAGTTAAATTCATAATGTATCAGGTCAGAGGAACACCAGGACACTAGCTGGGGTGGGTGTGTATTTTTTTTTTAAAGCAAAGTTGAATAAAAATAAACTTCTATGTGAAAAGTATTTTTCAATAACATTGAATAGCTCTGAATAAAACACTTAAAAACAGACCGGCTGCCTAGGGATTGTCTCCTTGCTTAATTCCACTTTAACCATATTAAAAGAGGGACTACAACTGTTCAAAAACAACCAAAATGTTTCAACACATCTTTTATCATAGCAAACATGCTGTTTTGATTTTTCACTCAGAAATTATTGATCTATTTTTATTCATGCTTTTGAGAAAAGCGTATCTTGCCTGTAGAGAAGTTCAGTCTGAAAGGCAAAATTAGAAGGAATCTACAGGCAATTGGAAAATACCTGCTAGAATGCAAATGTCTTGTACAGTTTTACCGCAGGCATCCCTGTGCACCCTGCCTTTAGCAGTGGGACACACCTAGCGCTGCTCCCTTCTGGGGCCCAACTTTGTCTTAGAAAATCAGAATCGTTTATGTTCTTTGGCAGACTCCAGATGAGAAGTTGAAGACTACTCCCATCTCCCATGTGGATCACTCATGTCTGCAGAATGCAAACTTTGGTTACGAACACCAGCCAAGCCCCTGAGAGAAAAACACCCCAAGAGGAACAACATGCAAAGGGAAGCTGTGCTGGGTGTTGTGAATGGTGAGTGCCATGTTGGAAGGTGCTTTGGTGCTGAGCCACCAAAGAAAGCATGCCGCTATTTAGCCGGCTCTAGGCCCGTGAATAATTCCACTGACTTATTTCACTTTCTCAGAAAGTTTAAAAGTTTTAAGTACAGTACGTACGTATACATGTGGGTCCACTGTGGCCAGCACCGTTTAATTTCATAGCAACATCCATCTTTTTAAAAGCGATCTTTTTCAGCTGTATTTCTAGTTGGCTGTCCCCTTCCTCCCCAAAAACTTCCATCCCCTTCCAATATGTTGGCATGAAAACACCCCACAACTCAGCTGTCCATCGTTAACAGCCAGAACACCTCCTCCTCATCTAAAATTATATCTCCTCTTCATCTAAAATTACAGTAATTAGTCGCAGTGCCCATGCTAGAAGTGGAAACCCCAGGGAAAT